CTTTGTCATTTCGTGCTGCCTTTTGGAATCTTCTGTTCAGCTCTAAACCTCTTTTGGAGTCAAGAAAGTGTGGTAGATATTCTGCAGAACAGCTATGCCACCATTCCTGCTTCATTAAAGCCGTTTTCTTCATTGAAGTTCATGTTAAAGCTTTTTTTACTAAAAAAGATAAAGTTCCAAAATTTGTGTGAGTGACTTTACTTGAGAAATAGTAAGGCATTCTACTTATAACCTTTGTGAACATCATTATCACAAAGTGGAATAAATGTGATCCAAGGTAAGTAAGAGGGCTTGCATTCAAATTTGTAAAGTGGTTGATCAATGCTCTAATAAAAAGAATACTTGTTAATGTATTTTTTAAATGTGTAACCTTTTGATATATGAAGCAAATCAATGTTGTCTTCAGGCTGGTATTCTTTTTTTTCATAATCATAAATTTTTTAATTCTCATAAAGCCTTATAATCATATAATTTACAAATCTGTGCAAATAATACAGCTCCTCTATCATAATCATTTTTATGAGGTGGTATAAGCACCATTACCAATCACATAAATATAAGTAGATGAACATTGTTTAATAGCTCTTTAAAAACAATCCTGAAGACTTTTGTCTCTGATGACAAAAAAGTTAAAATCAAAGTTACTACATCCATCATGCTGACTTTTAAAAGCATGTGACATGGCAGATCTTTTATACAATGTGAGAAGTGTTAAACATTCTTTATTTGCTATCATACACAAACCACACTGAACTGCTTTTTGTTATTCAAAAGGCAACATTTTAGATACAGGGAATTTTAATTCCATTAACACAGTCAAGGACAAATAGATAAAGTCTTGCTACTTTACCTCTAGCCCTTGCATTTAAAGATGCTGATAGAAATTGAAGCAGGTGAGGTGTGTTCTGTTCCATGTGACAGTAAAGACATCCTTGTATTTAAATAAAATTTGTATAATCAGTTATAGAAATCTAAATATAAAAACCATCTCCTATAGATTGTGATGCGGCGTCCACCATCTCTGTTAAAAACTGAGTAAAACTAATTGGTGTGAGATCAATTTAAATGTGGTACATGTGAAAAAAAAGTCACAGGACATTTCTACTTTGTAATAAATAAGGCAGAGGCCAACTATGTTACTCATTGGTAGCTTTCTTAAGATAAGCTATCAACTCTGCCCTTTCTGTCTTCTTCTTAATGCCAGCAAAGATCGTCTTTGTTCCAGGGATGTATTTCTTGGGATTCTCCAGATACTCCATCAGTGTATCCTCTCCCCAGGTGATACCTTTGTTCTTATTGGCATCTGTATAAGAGAATCCAGGGGCTTGACCAGTCTTCCGCCCAAATAAACCATGCAGGTTCGGCCCAGTCTTGTGCTTGCCCCCCTTCTACACGGTGTGGCACTGGGCACACTTCTGTACAAAAATTTTCTTGCCCTTCTCAACATCACCCATTTTGAAGTCACTCTGTAGTCCTGCACAACCCAAAGATAAACTCTCAGGCTCAGGCTGTTATTCTTATCTAAAGAAAATTGTCTCAAACACAATTTTATTACTTTGTACTTACTTATTAAAGCAAGAAATAATGCTCTGGAGTCTACTGATCATTTGCAAACCCTTGGGAGACCCAGACAAGCTCAGTACGGCAAAGTGAGGCACAGTGTCTACGTGGTTACTGAGCTTTGGTGTTTCAGAGGGAATCCCAAGATCCCCTGGACTGAGTTAATTGGTACAATAAACTGACATTACTAATCTAGAGAATGATAGGAAATTTTAAGTCCAAAAGGCTAATGTCTGAAATGATTTGAGACTTTGTGATAATGGGATTTTATCTATTCTTTCGGAAAGTGAGTTACCATCTTGAAGGGTGCTCTTGGCACTTTTCTTAGTACTGCTTGACCTTTAAAACTTTGAAAAAACCAAATTGTCTTTTTTTAGTCTAAATGTTACCATCTAGGAATTTCTTCACGAAGTTGTGAGGGTTTCAGTGACTCATACGTGTAAGACTCTGAGTGACTCATTAGATGCTCACTCCTTCCCCTGCTCCTTGACATTTAAAGCCCTCACCTCACCCCCATATAATTGGCAATAATACTAAATAAGTTCTATATCTTAATAACACATTTAAGTATTTTAATATTATTTCAACTTATTAAATATTTTTGCAAGATAATCCACCAATTCCAAGAATGACATTCTTTGCAAAATAACACTCTGAGACTTGTATAGTACATGCTTTCCAAAGTTACCAAATCCATCCTTTCCTTAAGTTACTTAGATTCACAGTAAAAATGAGATATGACTTCCTTTTATTTTTCAATTCCACATGGATTTCTTTTGGCTAATACTTGGAAAAATCTAGTAAGCCATTCCTCTAAAAAGAGAATGGCATAAACATTTCCCAGGTTATTATCATTAAATGCAGAGAGTTTAAAAGACCTGGATGAAATGAACAATACTTTTGTAGAATGACTGTAATTACAATAGTTGTCTTTTGATTATACTCCAAATTTAAATTAACTTTGGGGGGATCCCCACAAAATGATAAACCAAACCAGAAGATTCACTATTAAAGGGCTGGCAAAGACATATAACATATATAGTGCATTTTTTTTTAATTTAGGTTGTTTATTTTTCATTTCAATGAACATCTACAGAGATTTTGGGATTCCATTCATTCATTGTTGCACCCTTCTCCCCGCACTATTAATTCAGTCAACTAATTATCAGGCTGTAATTATTGGTGAGTAGCTATTGTGTCTGTTGGTCAGTAACAGCTCTGTCAGAATTATTAGCCTAGGACTCTAACCAGAAGCTGCATAATCCCTGACATCTGTTCTAGTGAAAAGAAAGATATGCAAACATATTCAGGTCTATTAAATAACTAATACAAAACAAGGTGTTTCAAGACTGATGAGGTTGTATGAGAAAGATCAGCTAAATCTACCTAAGAAATTGCCAAACTAATACAAAGGAAACAAGTTGAGATCAGAAATTCTTCTGGTGGGCTTAAGTCAGGTGGGTACATGCAGAGTGAAGACGCTCAACAATGAGAACAGAACAAGGAAGGTTTGAGGGAGCCAGGAGTGGTCAGAGAACAGGGAATGTCTCCGTCAGCATTGTTAAAGCACAAATCACCATGTGGGGAGGAGCAGAAAGAGGAGGAAAGAAGGAAGCCTAGTAGATAGTGAGAAGAGCAGATCCTATGAAACTTGTTACCCTAGAAGAACAGGAATCAATTGTTCTCCTCCTGATAGGTTTATTGTGCATAAGGTCTTTATAAGTCACAGGCGACTTGGTACATAACAATAGAGTGTAAATGGAGTTACTAAATACTTTTGAGTAGAGAAGTTTCTTGGGAAAATGAGTATGTTCAACTTCTTGATGAGCACCAACAATGTTGTGATTCTCTTTCTGTTTACAAATTTCAGAAATGGCACACATACAAATTATAGGCCTGTCACTTATATAAGTTTCAATGGTTCACATTGTCATTGGGCTCAGGAATGCAAAAGGAAATATTCTAATTAAACAAGTTATCAGAATTACAATGGGGCCTGTGAGCAGGTTTTTGGTTAACAGATTTTTAAATAGACTGTAATACAACTTTTAATGAAGATTTCATTATAAAAGATAACCTCTAATGAAAATTTGGCTGAGTACCTTTTTGTTGTTGTTTTGCTCAGTAAATGAAAAGAGTTGTTTCAGTGAGAAACTTAAGCAAAATTGTGTACATACCAATGAAAACTATCTACTACTTTTCCTTAGCTCTTTGCAGATAAACAACAGTGGGTCTACCAGAAATAAATTCCACTTTGATTGACCATCATTTTTATAATTTCAGGGGTTAAGAATTTGAAGGGCCAGAACGAGTCAGCATTTCCTGAAGAAGAAGAAGGTATAAATGAAAGAGAGGAGCAGTGGGACCATTAATTATGGATATGCAGCAAGAAGGATTCTGGGAACAAACAGAACTATTAACTTTTCTGATTATCCCATGGAACCCCACGCTCAACTTTCAGGAACATTCTCCATCTTTGCACTCTACCCATACAGTAGTAAAATGCTTTTGGGAAGCCCTCTTTGACTGGTCTTTAGCACTAAGTACAATTGTTCCATATTACTTATAATCAAAGAATATAAACCTTTATTTTATGGTGACTTTTGTTTCTAACAACTTAAAAATTTGCAAACATGAGTGTTCTAACTTTAATACTGCCAGAGCTTAATCCTTAACATCTTACTGATATGGTTTGCCTTCTAAGGTCCAATGTAAATAGCATCATTTTAAGAGTATAAAATAAATATGAGATACATTTAGACATGAGTGTGTGTCTGAGTTTAAATTAAAAAGGCTTGCTTAATGAAAAGGGGGCTTTCAAGTTAAATTCAGCATTTACATGTTTCTGTGAACAAAACAGTATGCAGTACTGATTACAAAATCATAGAGAAATAGCAGATTTATAGATACAAAAGCCCATATTACATTAAATTTTGAATATTAAACATGTCTTTTCTAATTCATATAGTAATAGCCTAGCAGCTACTAGCATGCTTGGTAGTATGTTGTGATTGCTGTTGTATGTCGTCTAGTTGCCTGCGACTCATAGCGACCCTATGAACAATGGCTCTAAACCTTGCCCTATCTTGAACCAACTTCACCCTCTCAAGCACACATGGTCCCATTGCCACAATGACTGTGTCATTCCATCTAGTCCAGGGTCTTCCTCTTCTGCACTGACCCTCTATCTTTCCAAGCATGATGTCCTTCTCCAACGACTGTTGACAACAGGACCAAAGTATATGAGATGGAGCTTCAGAATCCTTGTCTCCAAGGAGCAGCTTGATTTTACTCTTTTCAGACAAACATATTTGTTTTCTTGGCATCCCCTGGTATGTTCAATACTCTTCTCCAGAGCACCACAACTCAGAGGCATCAATATTTTTCTGTCCTCCTTATTCATTCTCCAGCTCTCAGAAAAGCAAAGCAAACAATTGAAAAGACCATGGCATAGATCACACGCACTTTGGTCTTTAAATTGATATTGTTGCTTTTTAGCAATTTGGAGAGGTCCTTGACAGCCCCTGGTAGCATAATGGGTAACATTTTGTCTGTTAACTCAAAGGTTAAAGTTCAAATCCACCAGCCTCTATGAGATAAAGATGGATAATCTCCTCTCAAAAGGAGTGAGTTTGGTATTTTTATTTGTTCTTTTCAACAAGCATTGTCCAACATTACTATCTGGTTTGTTTGTTTAGGTTTTTTAAAAATTTTTTTAACATGGGTTTATTTACAAAATCTGTATACATTGCTTTTCACACTGGATCTTTTCCATTTCCTTAACCCACCCCTCTCTCCACCCATCAAATTGTGTAAATTTGTGATTACACCCTCCCACCCATCCTCACCTCTGTGTTTCCAACCCTCCTCCCCTTAGATCCCCATACACATTTTACTAGTTATCTACTTCTACAATAATGGTCTTGTACAGTATTTGTCCTTATGGGACTGAGTTAGTTTACTTAGCATATCTGGTGTGTTGGGTTTTGTATGGAAAAAAAATCCTAAAAATACTATGACACATCACAATCCCTTTTTTGTGGGCTAGTACTTGACACATGAACCATTTCTGATTACAGTTGAATGAATCATTAGCACTTTATGACTCTTCAGTACGATAAAGTAAATTTGATTAATTCATAGAGATTGTTGTTGTTGTTGTTAGGTGCTTTTGAGTCACAGAAACTCTATGAACAATATATTGGAAACTTGTCCTATCCTATGCCATTGTCACAATCTCTCCCATACTCACACCTATTGTAGTCACTATGTCAGCTCATCATGTTCCGGGTCTTCTTCCCTTTTTCTCTGACCCCCCACCTTTTCCAGCAGGATATCTCTTTCCAAAGACTGTTTTCTCCTGACAACATGAAGTATCACCATCTTTGACACTAAGGAGGACCCTCGTTTCACTTCCTCAAAGATAGATTGCTTTGTTTATAGATTGAGTCATTCATTAATTCAATTGCTTTTTTATGAAGTTATCCCTAGAGAGACACTCAGCTGGGAGTTGTACAAATAAAGAGTGATTATTTTGTTTTCCCCTGGCAGAGAATATAAAGTATACATAAATGGCAAAGTTATTGAAGACCATTCATGTTTGTCAAGTATGAGTCTTGTTAATTCAGAACATTTATTTAATGATTGCAAATATTCACACCACAATATTTAGTGAATATGGACATATGCGTAACTTATTTTCTATGTTGATGTTATCAATGTCATGGATGAAAATGGAAATGTTGTTCAGAAGCAATAAAAACTGAAATTAAGACAGGAAAAAACAACAACAAAGAATAAATATGAATCTTCTTTTAGATCTTTATATAAAAATCCAAGGTAAAATGATCATTTTTCAGTATGACTATGAGTTTTATAAGGAGCTCTTTGGGCATGTAGCCAGGAAAGTCTGGACCTTGGAGAAGACCATCATGCTTGGAAGGGTGGACTGACAGCACAGGAAAGGAAAGGAAAGACCTCAGATAAGATGGATTGATACAGTGACTGGGGCAATGGGTGTAGGTGTGTGGAGTCAGTGAGACTGGTTCAGGACAGGGCAGGCTTCAGAGCTATTGTACGTAGGGTTTCTAGGAATTGAGAGTGACTTGACAACACCTAACAACAAATGATGGCCTAGTGGTAAGGAGCTGCACTGCCAGCTGGAAGTGTTGTGGCTCAAACACTCCAGTTGCTCCACAGGAGAAACATAGGCACCTTCCTCTCATGTGATTTACAGGCTCTGAAAACTCACTGGTAGGTCAGCGATGAGTCAATTCCAATTCGACAGTACATAACAATAATATGTTGTTTGTTGTTATTTCATGCTGCCGAGTTGAGTCCTACTCATAGGGACCCTATGACCAAAAGATCTGAACCGTGTTCTATCCTGCACCATCCTCACACATCATCACACACAAGAGCCCATTGTAGCAGTCACTGTGTCAGTCCACCTTGTTGAGGATCTTCCTCTCCTTCATTGACCCTCCACCCTTCCCAGCATCATGTCCAGATCCAAGGAACAGCCCCTCCTAACAACATGCCCAAAGTATGTGAGACGAAGTCTCAACATTAGTGCCTCCAAAGAGCCGTAATGTAAGTCTTATAAAATAAAAATTAATAAGAGTTGGGTGATGGGAACATGCCTGGCTGCTAACAGAAAGGTCAGTGGTTCAGACTCACCTAAAGACTATGGGACAAAGATTTTTTCAATTTGCTTCTTAGCTGACTGCAGCCAAGAATTCTCTCAGCAGCAGTCCTACTCCGTTACTGCCAGTGGGTTCCCTGGCAGCCAAACTCAACTTGACAAGATCAGTCAGATTAAGAGAAAACATTTTCCTGAAGAAATACATGCAAAACCTCATCAGGAGTCATATTACTAGTATGAATGATTTACCCCTACAAATTCCTTCTACAATTTTCCCCTCTCTCCCTCCCTCTCTCCTTTTCTTCCTTCTTTCTCTCCCACTCTTTCTCCTTTCCTCTCTCCTTCCTGGTCTGTCTGGGACTCACACACCACCTGCTATGGCTATTTGTTTCACTTTCCAAGTTTCTTTCTACCTGATATCTGATTAAGTTACATACTTGTTTGAGATCGTTTTGAGTTCTCTGTATTTGAAGAACATCCAGACAGCCTTTGTGATTATTGGAGACACACTAAGGTGCAGAAAAAAAAAAATTGTCCCTCCCCTTCCTTTCACAGCCACTTACACAAATGTTTTTCAGACAAATAAAAAGAAATGAAAGCTTCTGTTGGTTTTACAGCAGCATTTACAGAAGTGAACAATGTGGCTTTTGAATTCTTCCCCTCTGTTCTCCATTCTCAAAACCACAAAGAGAAAGAAATTTAACAGCATAATTTTTGTTATCCTCTCAAAACACAAAGTGATAAAAACTAAAAGCTTACGTTTTCCTTCGAAAAAATGTTGGCTTTCTCAGAAATTTGAAGGAAACAAGCTAAGATAATGGCTTGTTAGTTTTGTTTTTTTCACTCAAGTAAAGCTTACAGCAAGCCCTCCACCCTCCTCTAACCCATAAAACCATTTGGTTTCAGTTTGACTGGATAAGCAAAGAAATTTTATGATCAAAACGAAATTAAAAATTTCAATTCATGTCCACTTTGTGGTAAAATGAAATGTTGACAGCTAGACTTTGAGTTGCTTTCATTGGCGTCAGATTACTTTCTAACAGACTTCAAACTCAGTTTCTCCGTCTATAAAATGGGGATAATCATGCCTGTTAAACTGATGTGAAAATTAAATGAGTTATGCTTATTGTTGTCAAATTGGAGCCAAGTCATAGCTGATCCTGATTAGATTTTCAGAGGCTGTAAATTGCACTGGAGGAGATTGCCCATCTTTCTCTGGTGGTGGATTCAAACCACCTGAAACCACCACTAAGCCATGAGAACCAGTGGTTAATAAGCAACAATGAGGTAATATCTATAAAACACTCAGCCCAGCTTAGGAAGCACCTAATAATTGGTGTCTACTGAATAGCCTTAAGGATCAGTGGAAAGTGCTTTGGTGTCATAGAGGTAAGAACCTGAGCTACAATCCTGAACACATGTGATTCAAGCTTCTCTGCCAGAGAGTCAGCTATGGGTTGGTTCTGACTCTATGGTACACATTAACTACAACAGCAACAACAACAAGAAGAAATTAGTGGTGATTCAGTGGTAGAATTCTCGTCTTCCATGGGAATGCCCAAATTTTAACTCCTGGTCAAAACACTCAAAGCACATGCACACTCATCTCTCTGTGGAGGCTTGCATGTTGCTGTCGCTGTTGTATGCACCATCTTTCTCTCCTGAAGTGGTTGGGGGATTGGAACTGCCTGCTTTTGGGTTGACTGTGCAACCTCTTTCCCATCAGGCCACAAGAACTCCATGCATGTTACTATGATACTGAAAAGGTTTTAGACTAAAGGCAGTCTAGGAAGAAAATCCTGAAAATCTACTTCCTCAAAATTGGCCAATGAAAACCCTACAGATAATAACAGATAACATTTAACAGCTGTTGACAGATTGAACATTTAAGCAGATAACAACAGTCTAATAATGCTTTGTAGAAGTGGATCCACCAGAGACCAGCCAGAGCAGCTAACAACAGTAACAATGTAAGTACCAGTGGACAGCCTCAGAGGTTGTCCACCCAAGCATTTAACACATCCAGAAAACTCTGGACCAACAGAGACCAGTCACTAACTCCAGCCATACCTCATCGGCAGCAGCTCTGTGGGAGAAAGCTCAGCCCCCACCTCCTGTGAGATTTGCTGAATACAT